AAGCATGAGACCATTGATATGTCCAAAACAGCGTCTTGAAATAACATTGAAGTAAAACATTTTTATTCCAATTAAATTAGTTAGACTATATTTAATTTATTATTTATGTTTCAACAAACTAATAATTAGCATAATTTATTTATTTTGTAGATATTTATTTTTTAGATATTTAGCCACCGGAGACCAAATGTTGTCTGTGGCTTTAGCTTACCGAGTCGGTGAATCTACAGCTCATATAATTGTTAAAGAAACATGCACGGTTCTAGCAAATATTCTTATGCCAATCTATATNAAACCTCCCACAAAAGTCAAATGGGAAAAGATCTGTGCAGACTTTTTAACATTGTGGAATTTGCCAAATTGTGTTGGAGCGATCGACGGCAAGCACATAAGGATTCAAGCACCTCCAAACTCAGGATCTATGTACTTTAATTATAAGAAGACATTTAGGGTTGTATTGATGGCTGTTTGTGATGCCAGATATAGATTTACATTGTTCGAAGTAGATGCGTACGGCAGCGATAGCGATGGAGGAATTCTTTCGAGATCAGTTTTGGNAAANNCATTGTATGAAGATANACTGAACTTGCCAAAAGGGACAGCTCGGTTCCCAGGAAGTGATAAGGAAACATCTTGCTATTTTGTTGTNGACGGAGCCTTCCAAATGTCTACTAACGTAATGCGACCTTATCCAGGCAGATTTTTAGATGAACAAAAACGAGTTTTCAACTATCGACTATCACGGGCCAGAAGAACAATAGAAAATACTTTTAGAATCCTTTCAGCTAGATGGAGGATATTTCAAAGATCAATTCATGCCGGTCAGAGGTCGTTGATAAATTTGTGATAGCAGCAATGTGTTTGCATAATTTTTTAAAAACGTTCAATGACAAGAAAACACNGCAGCAGCAACAGTATTGTCTTCCTCAATTCACGGATAGAGAAAGTAGCGAAGGAAACATAATTGAAGGAGAATGGCAACTACAATCGCAAAGTGACTTCATAAGACCTATCGGAAATTGTGGAGTACGTCGAGCTACGAGAGATGCTTACATAATGCGGCACATTCTGTCGTCATACTTCATGACACCTGCTGGCAAAGTTCCA